CCGTATAGGTCCATGTGCCTTTATCTGTGAATTGAGAATAAGGGCTGTTAGGAGGTTCAAAGGAATGATGTCTTTTTCTGTGCCCACTCGCTAGTGGGAGACCCAGGTCGCCTGCACGTCCCCAGCCTGGGGAGGGCCCTGGTGGCCCCGGGGGTCCCCCGGAGGTGAGCAAAGGGGAAGAGGGGCGCACCTTAGAATCGCCGGAAGTGGCTCGGCTATCCAGAGATCGCGGCCGCCCCGGGCTGCTCACTCCCGGTTCCACCGCCGACCTCCAGTCTGGACCCGGGATTCAGAGGAGGATGCGGAGTCCCGAGTGAGTTGGACGAGGGAGTCTGGGAGGAGAAAATTCTGTTGAGCTTCAGGGGAAAAGCGGCATTGGGGGAGTGGCCTACGAGAAGGGCGGGGTCCGGGCTGACTAGGGGCGTGGCTCAGCGCTTTCTTCCCTGAGTTGACCTGCTGGGGTTCTTGTGGGGTGAGATGCCAAGAAGGGAGAAGTTACTAAGGATCTGGCCAAGAGGAGGGTTCTGCTCTTAGAGGGACAGGGAGACAATAAAGGGAGACACTCTTTGAGGCTGACTTGGTAGGTAGTGGGGTGAGGGGCTCTAGTTGACCCAGTTCCCCGATTCTCTCCTCCCCACAGCCTGTTCGCACCCCTCTCTCGCCCTCCCTCCCCTCTGAGCCTCCCGCGGCCCCGTTCTGCTCCTGCACGCAGACTCCCTCCCTCCTCAGGTGACCCAGCACCCCCTACCAGACCCCATACCCCACTGAATCGCATTGATGTGCGCCCTCCCTTGGATTGGGGCCCCCAGCGCCAGACCCTTTCCCGGCCTCCCACTCCCCGCGGAAGACCCGAGGCCGGGGGAGGAAGGCCCCCCAGGAGTCCCCAGCCCTGGAGTCAGGAGGCCAGGACCCAGGTGAGTAGAGAGATGATGGGGCAGAGGACTAGGTCTCCCTTAGGGCCATGGGGCTCTCCCTCCAGGCTGGTCTCTAGGCCGTTGTCCCCGGAGCATCAAGGGGACTGTAGTTCTGCATAATCACAACGGGGTTCAGATGTGAGAGGGAGAGTAGACTATCTCCCATCAGTAGACGGCTGTCTTTTTAGGCTGGTCTAGGGCCGGTACACCCTCAGCATTGTGGGGACTGTAGTCCAGGATACTCTCCAAGACAATGCCATGAGAAATAGTGTGGGTCGCAACTGCCTCGTGTCTCCAGTTTATCTTTCCAAGCTGGTCGCCTGCTGTTCTCTCTGAGCATCATAGGATTGTAGCCCAGAATATCCACAGCTAACCACAAGTGTGTGAGTGAGAATAGATTGCAATTTCCATTGGCCCCTGGAGCTGTTTGGCCAGGCTTGTCTATTTACTGTCATCCTCTGTGTCCCCACAGTGACACGTAGCTGGAGAACAGGTACTTGAAGACGTTTTGGAGGCCCAGTTTTGAATCTCAAAGAGTCTCCTATGGCACTTCAGTTCTAGACACACCCACTTTAATATTGGTTGCTAAGACATGCCAATTTCTCAACATCTCTTTTTTGATATTCCTCCCAGGCCCCCTCTGGCTCCTCCACTTACATCCAGCTCCCCCCAAGGTCTCCTGGGACACGGGCTTCTATAGTTTTATTGGTAAGTATCCTGGGCACTCCAACCTGCCAGAGCCCCTCCCCTGTTTTCTTTGCTACGCCGAATGTCACCTCCTGGACTAGTGTGCCCAGACAAGGCCCGATGTTTCAATGTCCTCGGGTAGGTGCGTCCATTAGTTTCCTCAGTGCTGCAAACTGGATAGAATATATGTAAACTATCTCTTTATTCATTCATATCATCTTCTAGATTTTTTTTTTTTTTAACCCTCACCCAAAGATATTTTTTCCATTGCTTCTCAGAGAGAGTGGAAAGGAGAGAGAGTGTGAGAAAGAAACATGAATTCATTGCTTGATTCTTGTATGTGCCCTGACGGGATCAAACCTGCAATGTTGGCGTATTGGGATGATGCTCTAACCAACTGAGCTACCTGCCAGGGCTAGAGATATGCTATTAATATTTGTGGCTTCATTTTGCATGTGACATACTTACTGAATTCTCTTATTTGTTCTAATTGCTCTTTGATTCTGTTGGCTTTTCTGGGTAGATGAGCATATTATCTGTAAATGATGGTTTTTTATTTTCCCTTTCCTATTCTTTTTTAAATGTTTTTTTGATTGATTTTTAGAGAGAGGGGAAGGGAGATAGAGATAGATGGATGTGAGAGAGAGAAACATCCATCGGCTGCCTCCTGCATGCTCCCCACGGGGATCGNATGTTTTTTTGATTGATTTTTAGAGCGAGGGGAAGGGAGATAGAGATAGATGGATGTGTGAGAGAGAAACATCCATCGGCTGCCTCCTGCATGCTCCCCACGGGGATCGAGGCCTCAACCCGGCATGCACTCTGACTGGGAATTGAACCAGGGACCTCTAGGTTCATAGGTCGATGCTCAACCACTGAGCCACATCCACTGGGCTCCCTTTCCTGTTCTTACACCTCTTTTTGTTTCCTTATATCATTGGTCAAGATCTCTAATACTGTGTTAAACAGTAACAGTGATAGTGGGCATCCTTGTTTTATTCTCTGTTGTAAAGGAAATGTCTCAGTTTTTTTCATTGATTATAATATTTGCTATAGCTATTTGGTAACAGAGCCCATTGTATCTTCCTAAAGCCAAGAAGTAGACATTTGGTCTCCTGAGGTTTGCTAAAGGTTGGGACAAAACTAATAAGGGGGGGGTGGGGGAGTCTGTCAGTACAGACAGCCTGGTTCAGCACTGAGCTACAATAAGGCCCTATCTGCCCCCGTAACCCCCAGCTTTTCCCCTTTTTCTCAGCCGGGTCCTCCCCTGGATTCATCCTTCCACCAAAGCTTGGAGACAGATGTAAGTTCTCCTGCATCCAGCTCCTGCTGAGTTCCCAGAGTTGGAGAGAGAATATTCTAGGTGGGTGGGGGAAGGCAGGAGGAAGAACCAGATCTGGTCCATAAATAGCTCCTGATCTCCTTTTTCAGACTCTGTTGACCAAGTTGTGCGGGCAGGACCGGCTCCTGAAGAGGCTGCAGGAGGAGATAGACCAGAGACAGGAGGAGAAGGCACGGGGCCCTGGGCTGGGAAGGGGCTCCTAGCCTCCCCACCTGCCCTCAGCCCTTCCTGATGCTCAGCCCCTCTTCTCTCTCCCTGGGGCCGGGTGTGGCTTCAGAAGGTTAACCACTTTCCCTCTTGGTGCAGGAGCAGCTTGAAGCAGCCCTGGAGTTGACCAGGCAGCAGCTGGGCCAAGCAACCAGGGAGGCTGCGGCTCCCCCAAGGGCCTGGGGGCGCCAGCGCCTCCTGCAGGACCGACTGGTCAGTGTGAGGGCCACTCTTTGTCACCTGACTCAGGTGAGCACCTGGGAAGGGACATGCCCTCCCTGGGGGCCCCATGACTCTATAGGTTGTTCCTGAAGGAGACCTGACCCCAAGAGCTCATGGGAAGGCAGTTTTTGAGAACTGCCCCCTCCCCAAATTTTAAACCAGTGATCTTGACTGTCCCAGAGGGTGAGCAGCCAGGAAGCTGCAGAGCCTAATTTATAGGGTTAAGAGGATGATTTTGCTATGGGATTCCTGGCTTTGAATCTGAACTCCCTCTCACAGTAGCTGTGTGACTTTAGAAAAGTTACTTAATCTCTCTGGGCTGTAGATGCATCTTAGGTAAACTTGAGGTGATACAGTATTTACTGCATAGGGTCCTTATGAAGATTTCATACATATATGTAAACGAGTGAATGAATGAATGAATATTTAACACTTAGGTACCTGTCATGTGATAAGTAATATTTAAGTGTTAGCCATAAATATTATTAACTGTAAAATGGAAACATTAATAGTACCTATGTCACAAGAATTAAATGCGTCCTAAGAACAGTGCCTAACACACATTAAGTTCCTAGTAAATGTTAGTGGCTATAATTATTATGATTGGTATTGGCAAGGAGATTTCTGCTGCCCAGGGGTGGGTAGGGATTGTGGGCTTGGCTGTCCCAAGAATTCATTAGATATGCCCCTGAGGATCCAGAGAAAGCTGTTATTTCTCTACACTAGCAGTTCATTGGCCTGGCAGGTTCATATAGACTCTGGGGTTCCCAGTAGTTGGAACATAAAGGCCTTCAGGAATTGTAGTCCATGTACCCCCAGGCACCAGGGCCCAGACCTCCCTTCCTCCTCATCTGGGAAAAGGTGGAGTGGGGAAGGATCTACTGGGCGGGCATGCTAACCCTGTGTCTCCCCTTTCTGGGACCCAAGGAGCGAGAGCGGGTTTGGGACATGTATAGCGGGCTGGAGCAGGAGCTGGTCACCTTGAGAGAGACCCTTGAGTACCTGCTGCACCTTGGGTCCCCCCAGGTACATCCCTGTCCCTGTCCCCCAATTCCCACCCTCCACTCCAAATCCACCTGAAAAACCCTTTGTGCATTTAAGCTCCTCCCACAGAATTGAAATATTTCCCACTTTATCACAAGCTCCTCCCCTTCTACCCTTTCCTTTCCTTTTAAACCCCTTATGATAGTTAAAACCAAGCTCTTCACTTTAAGACCTACCTTCAGATTCAGAACCACTCTCCCCTCTGGTTTTAAATCTCTCCTCTTATTTTGAAGCCCTACCCTCTGTGTCAAAACTGCCCTCATCAGCCCTGTCCCCATCCTGCGTGTTCATCCTGACTTTTGCTGTTAAATTCATCCTCTGGAGTTTCCAGTTCTAAGTCCAATACCTAGTTTAAGCCCTGAAGTATAAACCCTGTTGCTTAGCCTCAGATCCACCTCTTGATTCTAAGCCTAGCAATTGAATTTCAAAATCATACATCTTATTTTTTTGTAGCCCCCACCTGAGGATGTGTTTTTACTGATTTTAGAGAGAGGGGAAGGAGAGAGAGAAACATTGATGCTAGAGGGAAACATTGACCAGCTGCCTTCTGCATGCCCCCTACTTGGGATGGATCCCACAACCTGGGCATGTGCCCTGACCCAGAATCAAACCCGTGACTCTTCGGTGCATGAGACGATGCTCCAACCAACTGAGCCACACCAGCCAGAGCCAAAATCATATATCTTTAGTTAAAAACATTGCCTTCTAATATTAAATGTGTACTCGCAGATTTAAGTCCTGACTTCATGCTAAACCGTCCCACTGCTTTTTAAAATCCACCCCTCAGCTCTGATCCCCCACCTGTTGTGTTAAATATTACTCACCTCCAGCAATATATGAGGAGAATGATACATCACAACCAAATTGGGTCTGCCACAGGAATTCAAGGTTAGCTTATAACACTTGAGAAGCAGTCCATGGAGCCCTGCAGGTGGGGCTCAGTGGGTTGGGTGTCGTCCTGTGCACCTAAAGGTTGCCAGCTTGATTCCCGGTCAGGGCACATGTCTGAGTTGTGGGCACGATTCCTGGTAGAGGTTGTGCAGGAGGCAACCGATTGATCTTTCTCTCTCAAATTGATGTTTCTCTCTCTTTAAAAATCAAGAAAGAATTAAAAATAAAGGACAGTGTTTGTGATAAATGGTGGAGGGTGGACGGGATAGCCATATGGAAATGGATATCCACAAATATAGGCTTCATATACACATATAGTCCACTCATGACTCCATAAATACAGCCCAGCTGACTTCAGACTCTGTCTGCAGCCTAGATCCTGTCTGTGACCTATCAACTTGAACCCTCTTGCATTTTCCCACCTTTGAGAATCACATTTCTTTCCTCCCCTCAGGACAGAACATCTGCTCAGCAGCAGCTGTGGATGATGGAAGACACACTGGCAGGTCTGGGGGGCCACCAGAAACCGTCCCCCAACACTGAGCCTGATTCCCCATCCCCCGCACTCCAAGGCGAGGAGTCTTCAGAGAGAGAGGTGAGATTCACTCCCCCCTCTCCCCCCCCC